CCCGGCTAATATTTTGTATTTTTAGTAGAGATGAGGTTTCACCATGTTGGCCCGACTGGTCTCAAACTCCTGACCTCAGGTGATTCACTCGCCTCGGCCTCCCAAAGTGTTGGGATTATAGGCGTGAGCCACCGCGCCCACCCTCACTTTTCTTCTAGTGTCACCCACTGTCCTAGTCTCCTTGGGCTGCTGCAATAAAGCTCCACAAACTGGGTGGCTACAGTGGAAATTTATTCTTTCTCCATTCTGGAGGCAGAATTCTGAAATCAAGGTGTGGGGGAGCCTGTGCTCCCTCTGGAAGCCCCATGATGGGTGTGGGGAGATTCCTCCTGCCTCTTCCAGCTTCTCATGGACCCAGGTGTCTTGTAGCTTGTGGTCACATCCCTGCTTTGATCTTCAGGTGACCTTCTCTTCTGTCTCTTATCAGGCCACAGTCACTAGACTTAGGGCCCACTCCATTAATCCAGGATGATTCCATCCTGAGATCCTTAATTATATCTATAAAGATCTTTTTCCAAATAAGGTCACATTCACAGATTCCAGGAGTTAGGACATGGACATATCTTTTGCAGGGGACATTATTCAACCCATGACATGCACTGCCTGACTTTGCATTACACATGGATTTGTCCACAGCCTGTCTCCCCCATTAGGAGATGAGATAGGAAAGCAGGGAAAGAGTCTGTTGTGTTCCCAGCTCGATCTCCAGTGCCACATGGCAGGTGCTGAGAAATATTTGTTAAGTGAATGAAATGGTTTTACCTTTCCAAGTCCCAATGTTCCCATCTATAAAATGATTATTTCCTGTGTGCACAGCTTTTGCAAAACAGAATCAAGGGTTTATGAAAGGTACCATAACTTCCACCTAATTCTTAAAATTAGAAACAAATTGCACAAAATATACCTTTGTACAGTGTACCCTTTCCAAAAAGGATGTCTCCAATGCCATTCTTGGAGAATTTGTGAGTGAAGTTTGTTACCAAACAAAATACAGGTGCCTTGAGGTTGCATCACGGCTCCCAGCAGTGCTGGGGCATTGCTGGGGATAATTTGCGGGCAGTGAAAAGACACCACTTTGACATAGAGAGTGAATGGGAGTTGCAGAGCATGACCTCATTGTTCAAGGTGCCCAGAGCAGACATTTCGAGAAAGGCTGGATGCCTTTGGTTGGGTCCCACCCTTGGCATTCATCGTTGGCCAATGCTGCAGAATCACTGAGGCGTTGAGCTGCAAACCCCAGAAAGTTCTCCAGCCAACTGTCTTGTTAGATTCTTTGCAAGTGGGCTCTAGCATTTTACAGGCTGAAGGCAGAAAAAATAAATGAAAAACTTGAAAAAACAGAATCTTGAAGTCTGTGGGGATGACCACGGAATCCAAACAAAGTGACAGAGCTCAGAAAGGTCATTTAAGACAAACATAAATAGCAGGTGTAACTGACAGGGAAATGGACAACACACAACAACAAAAACCAACTCAGAAGGTAAGAGCTTGCGACAGGCGCGGTGGATCAAACCTGTAATCCTAGCACTTTGGGAGGCTGAGGCAGGCAGATAGATCACTTGAGGTCAGAAGTTCAAGACCAGCCTGGTCAACATGGCAAAACCCTGTCTTGTCTCTAGTATATATATACACACAGAAATTAGCTGGGCATGGTGGCGCACCCCTGTAGTCCCAGATATTCTGGAGGCTGAGGCATGAGAATCGCTTGAACTCGGGAGGTGGAGGTTGCAGCCAGCCGAGATGGCACCACTGTACTCCAGCCTGGGCAACAGAGCAAGACTGTCTCAAAAAATGAGAAGAGTTTGGGTAATTAAATTACTTAGAATATAAGAGGATGCAGAGGTTAGAAAAACAAAAATTAAAGTTGGAAAATTTCTTTAAATCTGGAAAAGGAAACCAAAAGAGACTGTAAATACTCATCTGTGTTTCTGAAATGTTTTCAGGTAGCTCCCAGTAGAACTTTCAATGAGATGTTTATTCCAAAACCAAAGTAAAAGTTGACAGCAAATTGAGTGCTTGCCTCAAAAGGCACAGAAATAAAACATGAAAGAGGATGACAGACGTCAATCTAACAGTGACAACTATAACAATGTAGACACAATACATTTCCCTATTATAAAGCAAATCATGCATTGAAAGTTCTGTTAAATATACATTTTAATGATCTATTGTTTATGAGAGACATATTCAATAAATATTTTGGAGTATTTGCCATGTTTCAGGCACATCATTTACCATAACCAACACTGGTGGAGCCTAATTTACCTAATTTTACACACCGTAAACCTAATTTACTGGCCTGGGCAACATAGCAAGACCCCATCTCTACATAAAAATAAAAATTAAAAAATTAGTTGGGTGTGGTTCTGTGCACCTGTAGTCGCAGCTACTCAGGAGGGAGGATTGCTTGAACCCAGGAGTTCAAGCCTGCAGTGAGCTACGATCCCGCCACCGCCCTCCAGCCTGGACTACAGAGTGAGACCTTGTCTCTAAAATATACACGTATATATCCACCACCTAGAGTTTCCTTCCGGAATGCCCTGAGCATTTTCAAACCTAGCCCAGGAATTCCAGCCTTGACATCTCTGGGCTGGAGCGGAAGCCATGATGATAGGATCCGGAAGGCTGAGCTTTCAAATCCCCTGCTCCAGGGATGCTGGTCTGCCTGGAGAGATGACTGGTTAACGGCTTGGACAAACATGAAGATGCCAACAAGGCATTCTTCTTCCCTGGATCCAACATCATCTTAAAATCACAGAATGCCAGTTGGGAAGGACCTAAGAAATAACTGAGCCAAGTTCCCGTATGTTCTTTTATATTAATAATATGACAGAAGTGCCTGAGGGCCTGCAATGTCTGGTACTACTACGTCATACCATACTGGGTACTCCACCTGTGCAAGCATCCACTCAGCCTTTACCATAGGATGCTGAGGTTGGCTGCAGGATGTCTCCTACTTGTTCCTCTACAACACTCTTTTTTTTTTTTCTTTAACATGAAGTCTTACTCTATCGCCCAGGCTGGAGTGCAGCGGCACAATCTCGGCTCACTGCAACCTCCACCTCCCGGGTTCAAGCGATTCTCCTGCCTCAGCCTCCCAAGTAGCTGGGATTACAGGCACACGCCAGCATACCTGGCTAATTTTTGTATTTTTAGTAGAGACAGGGTTTCCCCATGTTGGCCAGGCAGGTCCCAAACTCCTGACCTCAGGTGATCCGCCCACCTTTGCCTCTCAAAGTGTTGAGATTACAGGTATGAGCCACCAGCCCAGCCTCCTCTACACCACTCTCCACCCTTCTTTGGATTCTCCGCCCAGGAGGCTACGTCCTTGGCTCTGTTGCCCTCTGCTGAAGTGATCAGCCCCCCAGAGCTCCCTTCTCCAGGTAACTCCTCTCTCGTCTGCTCCTTCAGGCCTTGGGTGGGAACAAAGCCACTTCTCACTCTTTGCGAGTCTTCGTTAATGGCATAAGCGCTTCTGGTTTCTCTACATCATCCCCACACCTTTGTTAAAAGTCTGTTTCTCAAACTCTCCTCAAATTACTGTTTCCTGCTGGGACCCTGATTCATACAGGTAGGTAGTGATGTCCCCATTTTATGGATGAGTAAACTGAGGTGGAGAGAGGTGAAGAAAGTTGTCCAAGGTCTGAAAGGAACATTCCTGGGATTCAAATCTGGACTCACTCACGTCAGAGGTTTGCTGTTACCATTATTCCTGTACCTTTGTTGAAACTGGGGGGCGGGGGGACAGGCTGATACCATAGCCTTTGTTTCCTTAAAAGAGGAAGATGCAGGAGATACAAGAAGGGCCACTGGAACTGCCCCACAGGTTTTTGTGGGCTGGAGTCAACCCTCAGGAGCAATTGAGGTAGGTGGCAAATATTTGCTCAAAAGAGGCAGCTGAATTGCGTGGATAAATGCAGAGGCCATGTCCTGTAGTCCCTAAGCAACTTCCCTGTAGAGATGAGGAAGCCAGTGGAAAGGTGGGTGGCACGGCCTTCCCCAGAGCCCCCGCCTCTGCTAAGTGGTGGGTCTACTTACGGATCTAGACCCACCTGCAGCCAAAGAAAGCCCTGGTACTTCAAAGCACCCACTTGGCAGCTGGCAACTGTCTACACTGTGTGTGGACTCACATACTTTGGGAGCCATTTGAGCCCAGCATCTTCTGATGATGATGACGATCATGAGGGTGGTGTCATGGGGACACCAGCACATTCTCTAAGCCAAGCCCTGCTCCAGAGCTTCCTGTACAGCACTGTCCGCTGGGGCCTCTCAATGTCACTGTGAAGAAGGTCTATGGTGGTGGCCATTCTGCAGAGCAGTAAACCAAGGTGCACAAAATGTAAGAAATCTGCTCAGGTCCCGCCATGAGCAAGAGCGGCGCTCATCCTGCAGACAAGGACAGGGGCCTGACCATCCCAGACCATGCAGGAGCCAAAGGCAGCAGGGCTGTCAGCCGCTCCTGTTCCCGGACTCACTCCCAGGGCCCTGGAGGTGGGGGGTCTTAGCCTTCTGCTCCCCGCTCCATGACAGACTAGGTCGCCGAGGCTCAGAGAGGCCACGTGACCCATCCAGCGTGCCCAGCCGCAGGTGTGAGTCTGAGTCAGCTCCAACCACCTCGCTCCCGGCGCTTTAGAGCGGCCCACACTGGCTTCCTCAAGAGGATCACCTGGGGCTCGTTAAAAACTCAGCTCCCGGCGGCTCCAAACCCAGTAACTGGGCAGGGAAGGGTCTGGGAATCCGGATTTCAAACCAGCGTTTGCTCCTCCACCTCCCCCACTCCAGGTGATTCTGAGGATCTGCAAGTGTGGGAAACAGCCCAAGCCCTGAGGCGACGCAGCCGCTCCCTGGGCCTTCGATGGCAGCCGGCGCTGTCCCCAGGGGCCCTGGGGTCCCAGGCGAGCTCGCGGGGCGGGGCCAGGTGAGCCAACACCTCCCTGTGCGGAGCCCCGCCCCGGGGGCGGGGCCTCACCTGGCGCGGGCAGGTAGACAGCTCCCTGGTAACCGGGTCTGGCCCAGGAGGCTCGGGCGCGCGCAGCCATCCCGGGCCTCGCCGGGGACCGAGGGAGGCAGGCAGCGCCTGCGCCCGCTCACCATGGTCGAGGGACGCGTCTCCAAGTTCCTGAAGAAACTCGGCTTCTCGGGCGGCGGCCGCCAGTACCAGGCGCTGGAAAAGGACGAGGAGGAAGCCTTGGTGAGTCCGGGCGACCCCGCGCCGGGCGTGCGACCCGACCCCCCATCCCCTCTGTCTTACCCGATCCCGACCCGAGACCCCGCGTTGGCGCTGCGATTCGCGAACTGGTCCTCCTCCCCCGGTTCCGGCGAGAAGCCGTCCTCCCAGCAGCCACGCTCTCATGTGTGCTCTGGCCCGGGCAGCGCAGCATTGAACCCTCACGTGAACCCATTTTGCAGATGAGAAACTGAGGCCGAGAGTGGTTAAGTATATTGCCTAAGGGGCACGGAGCTAGGAAGTGACCTGGCTGGAAACTTAACCTAGGTTTCTCTGACTCCGGAGAATTAAAATTCCTGGGTCTCCAGACTTGGGCTGCTTTATGGATTTTTAAAACTTAAACTGGAAAATAAAATTAGAGGGATGCAAAAAACAAAAGATTGCTGAAATGTTGTAACAATAATAGAAAGCAAAGTTGGAGCTGAGGGACCTCCCAGCCTCACTTCCTACAGGCAGGCACTTTTAGAAAGCCACCCGGAGCTGTCGGCCTGCTTTGCAACCTCCAGGGGACCCGCTGGGGTAAAGCAGCAGGGTGCCAGGGCAGGGCGGTTCATGAGGGAACAAAGTGGCAAAGCTGTCAAATAAAGCCCCTCCTGTTCCTCGGATTCTTGGAAGCCAGAGGTGAAGCCAGGCTTGAGGGTGACCCAACACTCTTCAGCTTCACAAACAGAACTCCTTGCACGCTTTAAGGGCAAGGGGGCATTGAATTTCTGCTTTCTTTGCACGCCAGAGGGTCGTTGCACTTTTTTTTTTTTCATTTAAGCTTAAGCAGTCATTCAAAAATACCATTTCTGAACAAGTCCCCTGGGTTGCTAATGAGAACTATGACTTGGCAATGGCCTTTTGACCAGTGAGAGGAAACTTCAAAGGTACAATTACCTTTTAATAATAATTATAAATAAAAAAAAAGCTGAAAAAGTATTTGACTTAAAATTTTATTTTTTTCTCCCAAAGAATACTAATGGTCAAAACATTTTGTTTGTGAGATTAAGTATTCGTGCTTTTTAAAGATAGTGTTTCGGGCTTTTTAAAAATAGTGTTTTATACATCCCTGTTGATGTAAGAATTCTGGTGTTAGGGTGGTAGACCACAGGACCACGTAACTAGCAGTTTTTGAACAATCTCGATTTTTCTGAAGTGGCGTGTTAATGTTGATAGGATATAGAGTTCAATTAATTTGCTGTGATCTATTTTTCTACTTGTGTGATACGTTCTGCTAAAGGAGTTTGAAGTTTATTTGCCAGCACAGGTTGCCTTTCCTACGTTGCCATTCCTGTTTTTTCCTTTCCATCTTTTGATTTTTGCATCAGGCCAGGTATTTTTCGAACACTCCTGATGTGCAGTTTGTTACCATCAGGTTTCATAGGATGTCCAGGAATGCAGGTGCATGGATGATGTAACCTCAAGGGAGATGCTGGGGAAAGTTTGGTCTCTGTGTCACGTGGACTTCATCCCTCCAAAGCTTTGCAGAAGAGTTCTCAAAGGTCCGACAGGTGTTGAGCTGGTCTGTTGGTATGCTCTCCCACCTGGCTGTGGACCGGGGTGCTCTCAGCAGCATCCTGAGGCCTTGGATGCGTGACGATGGGCAGTGTGCCACACCAGGAGGCTGCTGATACCAGCAGCTGGCACCAAAGGCCAGCTGAGAAATAAGGCGTGCTGTCTCCAGAGGCAGCATTGTGCAAACCCAAGAAATAACGATGAAAATCGATGGGAAGTGTGAGGAGGGAGGGAGGTGGGGAAGCCGGGAGGCTGGGCGAGGCACTCACTTCCTGCCAGGTCAGCTCAGACCTGAGCACCTCCTTTGCTCTCATACTCGTGTCCTCGTGTCCTCTCGTTGAAACGCCTTCCTCCCAGGGTTTGGAAAGGAGGCAATGTGTGTTGAGGTGATCACTTCTACAATACTTGGAACCGTCTTTTATGAGCACTAATTATATACCACATCCAGGATGCCTGTAGGAGGCCTCTAAGCCCTCCCCTCCCCCAACCACTTTGACCAGTTACGCCAGTTCTAATAGTGATTGTTACTGAGAACCTGCTGTGTCTTCTCTCGGGTCTCTTACCTCCAACGTAAGTTTTACTGTCATCATGTGATCAGTGAGGATGTGAAGCTCCTAGTGGGGCCACTTTCGTTTGCTCAGTGAGCATTTCCTGACAGCCAGTTTTGCCAGGCACCGAGATACAGGTGTGTACAAAACACAGTTCATAGAGGAGGCCAACGGGCAGCTTAGAAACCAGGAGATGCTTTATTTGAGACCCAGTGGTCTTAAGTGCACTGGAGAATCAAAGAGTAGAGGACCAGACAGAGGACTGGTGGTTAAGAGGGGAACTGGAGACTGGATTTCAGCATTTCCAGGAATGAAAAGAAAGGTGTTTGAGTCGGGCGCAGTGGCTCATGCCTGTAATCCCCACACTTTGGAAGACTGAGGTAGGAGGGTCGCTTGAACCCCAGAGTTCAAGATCAGCCTGGGCAACATAGCCAGATGCCATCTCTGCAAAAAAATTTAAAAAATTAGGCATGGCGGTGTGCACCTGTGGTTCTAGCCGCTCCCGAAGCTGAAGCAGGATTGCTTGCACCTGGGAGGTCAAGGCTGCAGTGAGCTGTGATCATGCCACTGTGCTCCAACCTGGGCAGCAGAGTGAGACCCTGTCTCAAAACAAAACAACAACAAAAAGAAAGGTCTTTGAGAGGCCTCCTTAATTTAGTTACCAGAAAAAGTTTCTCACTGCTGACCTGAACATTAAGGTAAGGAAGAGATTGGACCAGAAATTCCTGCTCCCCAGGTGACTCAGCGCTGACTCCGGGGGAAGCTGTCTCTGCCCCTCAGGGCTCCCATCTCTTGACTGAGGCAAGTATAGCCCCAACCCACTGCCTCCCTGGCTGGTGAGCAGATTCCTCCTTCTGGACTCTGCAGGGTGAGGCTTGGATCCCAACTGACACATGTAGTGACCACCCATCCATTCAACCTAGATTCATGGAGAGGGGCTCCCTCTGTGTGTCAGGTGGGTGCTACAGGCTGGGGTTGAGGCTGATAAGGATGCACAGCTCCCTGCCCTCAGGTATCCCATCCGGGAGGCAGAGACAGGCACCCAACAACAGGTCACAGTTCACTGTTTAGTGCCGATGTGTCAGAGCTGGGAGAAAGACGTGATATTTAAGATAAATAGGAGTGGCAAAGAGTGAGCTGGATGAAGGGCAGGGGTTGACAGCGAGTTCTAGACAAAAGATGGAGAGGCGTTGGGGTTGGTAGGATGAGGCTGCAGAGGAGGGTCGTACGGAGCCTTGTCAGAGTGTGGGTTTTATCCCTGGAGCAATGGGGGACTGTTGAAGGGTTTTAAGTCAAGACATGACAGTCACTCATTTATTCACAGATGGGCCCAACATTAGAACCGTGATAAAACAGGCACAGTTAGATTTGTGTTTTTAAGAGATTACACTCAGTTACCGGAGAAGAGTATATGCATGGGAATTCTGAGGCTCAGGCACACACAACCTTAACCCAAGGCTTGCCCAAACTCACAAATCATTAGTGTTTCTCAGAATTTAGCAACGTGTGGGCATCTTCTTAAATAAACATACTAAAACCCCACAGTGTTTTGTTTGTTTGTTTTGAGACAGAGTTTCGCCCTGTCACCTAGGCTGGAGTGCAGTGGTGTGATCTTGGCTCACTGTAACCTCCGCCTCCCAGATTCTCCTGTCTCAACTTCCCGATTAGCTGGGATTACAGGCACCCGCCACCACGCCCAGCTAATTTTTGTATTTTTAGTAGATACGGGGTTTCACCATGTTGGCCAGGCTGGTCTCAAACTCCTGACCTCGTGATTCGCCCGCCTCAGCCTCCCAAAGTGCTGGGATTACAGGCATGAGCCACTGCACCTGGCCAGTGTTATCTTAAATGATTTGTATGAAAGTGTGACTTCAAGTAAGTATAAGCATAAAACCTATAATAAACATAACTATTTGCTTATAACTCAATTATAAAATCAATTTAGGCCGGTCGCAGTGACTCACCCCTGTTTTCCCAGCACTTTGGGAGGCTGAGGTGGGTGGATCACTTGAGTCCAGGAGTTCAAGACCGACCTGGCCAATATGGTGAAACCCCTCTCTACTAAAAATACAAAAATTAGCCGGGCATGGTGGCAGGTGCCTGTAATCCCAGCTACTGGGGAGGCTGAGGCAGATAAATCCCTACAACCCAGGAGGCGGAGGTTGCAGTGAGCCGATATCACAACACTGCACTCCAGCCTGGAAGACAGAGCGAGACTCCCTCTCAAAAAAAAAAAAAAAAAAAAAAGTTATAATAAAATTATAAAGTACACATAAAACAGCCTTATTTTGATATATTGGCGATGTTCTATTAAAACTTAATCAGGCTAGGCATGGTGGCTCACACCTATAATCCCAGCATTTTGGGCGGCCGAGGCAGGTGAATCACCTGAGGTCAGGAGTTTGAGACCAGTCTAGCCAACATGGCGAAACCCCATCTCTACTAAAAGTACAAAAATTAGCTGGGTGTGGTGGTGGGTGCCTGTAACCCCAGCTACTCAGAGGGGTGAGGCAGGAGAATCACTTGAATGCGGGAGGTGGAGGTTGCAGTGAGCCAAGATTGTGCCACTATGCTCCAGCCTGGGTGACAGAGCAAGACTCTATCTCTAAAAACAGAAAAAAAAAGACACTGGAAACCAAAGCCTTTTTTGAATCTCGTCTCGGAAATGAGATCTCATAACTTCTGCCATATTCTATTCATTTGATGTAAGTCTAAGTCTAGTCTACACTCAAAGGGAAGGGGTTACACAGGCCATGGGTACTGGGAGGGAGTGATGACTGGGGACCGCCTTAAAGGCTGCGCATTGGAATAGTAGAAAGAAGTATTTCCTTAAATGATGTCATTCACATTAAAAAAAAAAACAAAAAAAAAAAACCCTAGAACCACATCTGACATGTCATCTGCTCACTAGTTATCTGT